CCCTTCCCAGCTCCCTCAGGAACTCTCCAGCCCCTTCCCAGCCCTGACACACTCCAGCCCTTCAAGGTCCTTTCTGAAGTGATGATTTTGATCTGATCTCCCAAAAGAACACAGATTGCCCTTTGACCCCTGCCCTAACTTAGATAACTCTCACTTCCCTAAAAAAGATAAAAAAAGAAGAGTTTCTCCCCTGCTCTTCACAGGAGAGCTCTGGGTGCTCTGCAGGACACACATGCTGCCTTGGAAACCAGTTCACAATGGCAACACCTCAAAAAAGTCCCTGGATCGGGGAAATCCAAATAAAACAATCGTATGGTAAGAACAAAATCATTCCACCAAGAAAAAACCACCTCCCCCAACTTTCAAACCTCACAGGAGCAGTTACACAGTGACAGAACCAAACAATTCCATTTCAGAGCATGAATTAAAGTCCATCTCTGACACTTCTGGTAATGTAAGTAACAAAAAAAGAAGTGCTCATACCTGAGCATGTGATGAGTTTTCCCAGAAGACTAGGTTATATTTAAAACTCAGATCATCGATCCACATTTTTTTCCTCTGATTTGCTTCTGGAGGAGAAACCATAACTTTTATGACTCCATTTGTGGACTGCAATTCCAGTCCTGGTGGACCAATCTGAGCTGCAAATATGGAAAGAAAAAATAAGTTAAACATGTCTACTTGGAGAAAATACACCCCAAAAGCATTATACAATAACAAACCTGAAATACCTGCCGTATGGTTTCTTATTTTTAATTCTTTTGAATAATCACACACAGGATCTTAAGTTCTCATGAATCAGGCAGTTTCTAAAAGAAATTTAACCTAACAACCAACTACCATCACCTGGTTCTAAAAACAGTTAAAATTATATATTACCAGCAAATGTTTTCAAAAAAAATCAGTATAAATTAGTCTAAAACCTGCAAGGAAAGAGACTTAGCTCAGTTCAATAAATGCAACATCAAAGGAGGGCTTCAGTACCACTGGAACTGCTGAAAAGCCACAAACATCCCAAAAACAAGGTTCTTGGAACAACCTGGCCTATGGAAGGTGTTCCTGCCTGATGGGATGGGCTTTAAGGTCCCTCCCAATCCAGACCAGTCTGGGATTCTACAAAAATCTACTGTCAAAAAGGATTTTTCCAATAAGTAATCTGGGAAAATACAGAGTGACAGGAAATTCAGTCAGGAAACCAGCACCACTTGGAATAGTTTTCCCTTTCCAGAAAAGACAGAACTGCATGCCATGACCTGCAGATGCCTGGTCTTGTGTCCCTCTTGGGAAATTCTCCATTCTGCTGTTACCAGCAGTGGAAACCACACGTGGCTTTTCCACACTCCCTCATTCTAGACTGCTTTGGGTTGGGAAGGAGCTTAAATCTCATCCCACCCCACCCCTGCCATGGCAGGGACACCTCCCACTGTCCCAGGCTGCTCCAACCTGGCCTTGGGCACTGCCAGGGATCCAGGGGAATCTGGGAATTCCATCCCAGCCCTGCCCACCCTGCCAGGGAACAATTCCCAATTCCCAATCTCCCACCCAGCCCTGCCCTCTGGCAGTGGGAGCCATTCCCTGGCTCCTGTCCCTCCATCCTTGTCCCCAGTCCCTCTGCAGCTCTCCTGGAGCCCCTCCAGGCCCTGGCAGGGCTCTGAGCTCTCCCTGGAGCTTCTCCTCTCCAGGTTGAACATTCCCAGCTCTCCCAGCCTGGCTCCAGCCCCGGGGCTCCTCTGGGCTCTCTCCAGCAGCTCCAGGTGCTCCTGCTGCTGGATCTCAGGGCTGGAGGCTCTGCAGGTGTGGTCCCACCTGAGCAGGGCAGGGGAGCAGAACCCTTCAGAACCCTGAGGTGCTGAAGGAAGCAAAGTGTCCCCAGCCCCCCGGGCTCGTACCGACGTATTCGGGCACCATCTCCAGGACCTCGGACCAGGGGGACAGCAGGGGCCCTGCCTGGGCCCTCACGCGCACGTAGTGGGGATCGTAGTACTCGGAGATGGCCGAGGAGATGTCACAGCCTGTGCCAGCCACGGCCTGGCACCCCGGCAGCTCCTGCCAGCCCGTGTCCTTCAGCTCCGGCCTGCGGGACAGAGAACAGCCGGGAGAGACAGCCCAGGATAAACAACGGCCCGGGATAAACGACATCCCCGGGATAAACGACATCCCCGGGATAAACCACGGCCCGGGATAAACCACGGCCCCTGGATAAACAACGGCCTGGGATAAACCACGGCCCCGGATAAACCACGGCCCCGGGATAAACCACGGCCCCGGGATAAACAACGACCCAGGATAAACAACAGCCTGGGATAAACCACGGCCCCGGATAAACCACGGCCCCGGGATAAACCACGGCCCCGGATAAACCACGGCCCCGGGATAAACCACGACCCAGGATAAACAACGGCCCGGGATAAACCACGGCCCGGGATAAACCACGGCCCCGGATAAACCACGGCCCCGGATAAACCACGGCCCCGGGATAAACC